GTGGGGAATCAAACCTGGTTCTTCAAATAATAGTCCGCCGCTCTTAACCACTTCACCAAACTGTGTAGGGAGACAATACTGATCTATGTGCAATGTTCCACATGCATAAGCTTAGGAAACTGAATGGATACAGAATTATGCCTCAAAAGTATATTGTGGAGCACCCATTTAAAAATAATAAGCCTTTGGGGAAAAGGTTTACAGTCTTCTCTCTCATGGCTAAACATTCACTGTCAAAATTAAATGCACGTTGTAGAGAGTGACCACACTTCACCGTCTGTCCTGTTAATATGGTCTCAAGCAATTTTTTTAAAGTTTTCATATAAACATGAGTTCAAAAATCTGTATTTTAAAAACATATTTATTTCTTAGACTGAGTCACCACTGTTTTCAATGAAATAAAAGATGCCTTCTGTGAAAAAAATCATACATTTTATGGTCGCTACCTTCAAGAAACTAATCTGCTGACTACATGGTCTATAGACAGAAACTGGCTGAAGCCTTCTTACTTATCTTTTCACCTGAAATGAATGTCAGCATGAATGGTGAGCTTACCTGATACTCGTATATCATGATTCTCCCTTTAGGCATAACTAACACCATAAAGAGATGGAGGATCATGACTCAATCTGATCTTTTTCTGTACTGGATAGTTTTTTTAAAAAAACAAAACCCTGACTTCTTACATGTTAAATACTACACGGAATATGAGCATATTGTGAACCATTTATTATTTAATTTAATTTAATTTATTTGATTAATTTGTATTTTGCCTTACTCTCCAGTGGGGACCCAAAGCAACTTACAGCATTCACCTCTCCTACATTTTATCATCACAACAACCCTATGAGGTAGGTTAGGCTAAGAGAATGTGACTGGCCTAAGGCCACCCAGAGAGCTTCCACAGCACGAGTGGGGATTTGAACCTAGGTTGCTCAGATACTAGTCTGACAGTCTTAACCACTACACCACACTGACTCCTATGAACCATGAACAAAAGCATGTGTTATATATGTATAAGACAAATCTTCTCAGAAACAGCTGCTCCTTTTCAGTTACAGGAGTCTGCACAGCTGTTTTCTGCTTTGGACATTCGTGAATTAGAACTGGTATCTATTAGTGACAGCCTTAGCTGGTAGATTAGAATTCTGCACCTTCTGACCTTGGGGTTGTCTGATTTGTTCGACCTCTGAAGATGGCCCCTGGCTCAAAAGAAGGGAAAATTTTGAAATGATCCAAAATCATGTAAGACCTTTCTTTGGCATTGTGCAAATTCAAAGAAAATTGAATGGCAATACTTTGGTCTGATTTACTTTGCAGAATGCCAGTCTACTCAAGATGTTTGGTAAGTGCCCAATTGAGTAAAATCATCTAGGCCTCTATTCCCTTCAGAAATCTCTACCATTTTGAGGCTTCTGGTCTTGGCGAATCAAATGGCGGGTGCGTCTCTTCGAAGCTCCAAGAGACACATCCCATGATATGAAGGAAGGGAGGGGTCCTGGACAATTCCGGACCCCCCCAGGGCCCTTGCAGGGGCCCCCCAGCCATGGAGCATGAGGGGTGCCTCTTCCAAGGCAAACAGCCAAGGAATCGAGGCTCCCCTTTGCTCCGAAGGTCACACCGCCATAGAACAGCAATGGTGCTAGACTCACACACCGGGACAAGCAAGCAGATGGTCAAGCGATTTCACTTACCTGGTGGAAGACTTCTGATGAACTGCGAATTCTGAGCAGTTAAAACAAGATAAACATAAAATTGTTTAAGCGTTCACGTCCCCCTCATGTGAAGCGAGGGGGGGAGAATCCCAACACCAACAACGAAAGAAGGGGACTAAAAGCTAAGCCCTAATTAACTTCTCCAATCGTTTTTATAAGTCATAGAGACATTTGGAACTTTTCACTAAAAGTAAACAAAAGTGGCGACGGGAGGAAAAAAAATGGCACTGAAATCGAAACCTTCTTCAGGAAATGCTAATTTTGCTGCTACGGTCACGAGACAGGAAGCAAATACAGACATTCCAACCATATTAACAATTCGACTATGCCCTCTGCTGGACCACCTGACTTCATTAAACTTTAATTTGGAGACATTACAAAACCATAAAAAAGAAGCTATCAGCAACACAGAGCAAAACTCCGAGAACAATGGGAAAAATTTGGAAACAGTATTGAGCGAGGCTATGGAACCGGTAACAGATTTAAAGCGGATCTTATATAAGTGAGTTGGATATGCTCTATGGAATGTATCTACAATATATTAACAAGATTATTCTGCCCGGTGAAATCCTTGTGAGAACTACTAAAAGACATTTTATAAAGAGGATAATATACAAAAATTGACTTTGTTTCTGTAGAAACAACCGACACTTTGTGGATGGTCTGGACTATAATAGAAGAAGATGGAACAGCAGAAGAGGAACACGAGATGGGAAATCATGGAAGCGATACTTCTACGTCACTTGAAGAAGAAACTGTTTTAGGACTCTTAAACTCCCAGAATCAATAGAGAAGCAGACTTTAGAAACAAAAATGATAAATTTTTAAGACATATATATTTGACTTAAACCTAATTAAAATTGTTAGATTATTTGGCCACTATTACTCTAGTTAAAACCATGATGTATTATCATCTGATAAATTTATAAGCCTTACTATTCATTGTAACAAAGGTGTTCTAAGTGAAATATTACTGCAAGCATTGTTAAAATTGTTAGGCCACTGCTACTTGGGTTCTTAGTAGTAGTTTTCTTTCCTTTCTCCTGTAGATATTAGTTACCCCTTCCTTTGATTTCTGTGTAGTTTTTAGAATAAAAGCAATAAAAAATTATAAAAAAGAAATCTCTACCATTTCACTTTTCAAAGTGATTATCATCTTTCCTTTCCCTCTGCACACACTGTCCTTGCTTCATGAATCCAGCTTGGCAAATGACATAAATGTGTTAATTTCTGCACGACAAAGTACTTTCAGGACTCAATGATATCAGTTGGCTTCTTTCAGTGGAGGAGGGACTACTCACATCTTCCCAAACGAAATCCAAAACTTCACTTGATTTAAACTTATAGTAGCCAAAACCAAAACATTCAATACTAAAACAAGGTTTCTCTTGTGTTTAGTAAGTATGAAGGTACCACTTTATGGCATCAGAAGGTCCTGAGGTGGAAGAAGGTAGAAAGTAAAATCAAGGGTCTAGATTATGTTATTTTAACTATGGTGATCTGCTTTATGCTTGGAGAGCAACTACAGTTACCTCTAAATGTTCATGGACTTTACTAACTTGTACTCTGACAAAAGACTTCTAACTATATATATTTCTTAAATAAGGAATAACATATTTACACAATGTTATAAATGTTTAACAAATGACGCACAATCATAATATGAATATTTAGAAATATGGCCTAAAGAAATGCTATGTTTAAAAAGACTGAAAAGGGAAGATAGGGAATCTTTCATCTTCATGGGAATGGCATAAATACATGTTCTTCCTGCTCCTGAGGAATTTGAGGAAATCTTTGAAAGACTCAGTGCTTAAAAACACATAACTACATAAAACTTGTGCTAACAGGGTTTGTTTTCACCTGCTAGGAGAGTGAAAAACACAGTCATTAACTCAAAAGATTTGTAGCAAGTGTCATATGTTGATATCACAACTGTCAATATCATCAATAAAATAGGGAAAATATTTTGGTAGGCTTTTATTCCATCATTATGGCACGACAGAACTTAAAGACATCACATGAAGTCTTTAACTTCATTAAAATTTAATAGTGAATATATAAACATGTCATATGCATAATCTTTCCCTTCTCAAATGGGGGGGGGGACACCTTAAAAACAAGAACACATTGCCACCTGCTGGCCAAAATATTTCTGCAGTTTAATTACAATTTGTGTTAACCGTGACTTGTAACAAGTAAGACATAGCAGTAACTGATGGGAAACATTTGGCACCGTTTTCATATAATGGTCATATTAACTTCGAAATCAATACATGGGATCCTGTAAATACTTATCTAACATAGAAATAAAAGCCTTTCCTTAATACTGAAATCACTGTTGGTTTAATAAGAGGAAAAAAGTCTTGCTGTAAGTTACAGATCTTAACTTTTGGTATTAATTTGGATTCCAGTTTGACTTTAAAAATGTATTTATAAATATATATTAGGTACTGTACTGTGCATATAAAATTTCAGAGGTTATGGAATGGGAGAGAGAATTTTTTGGTTCCATTTGTAATTTGGTTTAGGCACGGCCTTGCTTCCGAAGGGTTATATGAGTATGCTTTCTAATAGACTCTAAATATATATATATATATATATAGGCACACACATATGTTGTCATATTGCAACAAATTTTAAATTTTGCTTACAAGCAAAATAATTCCATAGATACTCTTCCCCTTTAACTTGCTCACTATAAAATATATGGCTTTTCATGGCTTCACTCCACATTAGTGTTTCTTGCAGGCAGTGAAAATATATGTCTCTCACAAATCAGGTTAGTTAAAAGCACAGAAACCAGCTTGTGCACTTTCTAAGGGGGCCTCAATGCATATTGTGGTAACATAACTAAGTGCAGTGATTAAAATATTTTTCTTTTTTTTAAAAAAAGCAGTCAAGGTTATTTGCCTTCTGCACATGAACACAATATTATCGTACAAAATCTTTGCAAAATATAATCACCTGAACTGTAGATACATAAATACATCTTAGCAACACAGAAGCTGTAGTTTTATTGTACACAAAGCTTATTTTAAGAGTGACTAAGACTGGAATTGTCATATTATTTTTCCTTCTTACGATGACTACAAAACCAGGAACAAAATGTATCTGTAAGATGACTGCTTTACAGTGCTATTAAATTTATATAAAGTGAACATAGTTTTTTTTAAAAAAAAAATTAAATGACATTTGCTTGATATAAAACAAGACTGGAATCAAATCCGCTGTTACCATCCCTTCCCTAGCTGGGAAAAGCATGGACTCTGCTGACATCTCAACTCATACTAACGTTTCAGGGAGGGCATCTGGATTATCAGGCGATAAAATCTCCCAGATTTGCCACCGATCTCTCTGCCAGTCATGCCAGTCTGGCTCCGTCAGATTTTTACTGTTCTGCTTGCTGTCCGGACTGGAACAGTTGGTTCCCGTGCTGTCCTGTTGCTCCTCACACAGGGCAGATTGTTCCGGCACTTGAGTCATTGCTTTCCCTCCCCCTATAGTCCCTGAATGGGTTTCTGGTCTCTGAAGCCCCCATGATGAAGCCTTGTCTGCTGAAGAGGCTGCTAGCCAGAGGGACGAAGTGGAGCTTTGCTTCACTATCTCAGGATAAGGTGGTGGTGGAGGCCGGTCTTTTCGAATTATTTCCACTTGCCTTTGGTACCATGGTTTTGTTGTGCGGTGCAAACAAGCTGCGTCTGAATCACAGTCCACAAAGTGCTCTGTGCTACTAGTCGAAAAATGCTGCTCTGAGTTGGACCGACTGGAACTCCTTCTGCTACCTTCTATTTGTGGGGTGCTGCAAACCCGGGAGAGAGGTGGATGAGGACGACATTCAGGAAGGGCAGCAGTTGTATGACTCCTTCGGATGATTTGCTTTGTATTGTCCAATTCTGCAGTGCTCTCTGACCACTGAGGTGAAGGCAGTGATAAGTTTCCTTGAGAAAGAGAGCACTGCCCTGGCCGCAGTGAGCTGCTCTCATATATGTCTCCGTATGATCCTGAAGGCCCACATAGAAGATTATCAATAAACCACATAATGTTCACCAAAAATACATTGTTAAAAGGTATAGTTTCTAAGCACGTAACATGTGGAACAATACTAGAAGAAGAGTTAGTTTTTATACCCCACTTTTCTCTACCTCAAGAACTCTCAAAGTGGCTTACAATCACCTTCTCTTCACCTCCCCACAACAAGCACCTTGTGAGGTAGGTAGGGTTGAGAGAGTTCTGAGAGAACTGTGGCTCGCCCAAGGTCACCCAGCAGGCTTCACACGTGGAAGAGTGGGGAATCAAACCTGGTTCTCCAGATTAGAGCCAGCCACTCTTAACTACTACACCACACTCTCTCTACCCAGAAGTTAGTCCCATGCTGTCAAATGCCCTGCATGTGAGCTTCCACAGGCATCCTGATGGCTTCATGAACACCTGAGGGGAACAGCCAGTGGACTATATTATAGCATGAACACCCCACATTCCTGAATAAAACCCACCGGGGGAGGGGGTGAATACAAATTTGCCTGTTAAGGAAACACATATTATTGTGAATGTCATGAGGTCAAATCTTACTGCAAATAAAACAGATCGATCTGTGAATGCAGCACAGTATGGTTATGGCACACTTCCAGTGTAACTGGTACCTAACATCTTTCCAATGTAATACTTTTCATGTGAACAGTCAAATCATTCAACAAATACAGGCATACTCAAACAACTACAATCCATACCTGTCATTCCTTGATCTTTGGAACCACTTTTCAGTGTTGAATGCCAAGTCCCCCAGATGTTGAAATAGTCCTCGGAATCATCTAACAGGAAGAGAGGGACTATGAATGCAAAAGATCTCATAAGAATTCTCTAGAAGAAACAATGGGCACGATCTGAAGAACATCTTAGCCACAAGCAAGGATGATGCCCTAGTGTAATAAGAGTTGGAGTAGGCTTCTTTTCAGCTATCTGAATAGCTAACCCTAAAAAAATATAAAAACTCTGACTCTCAGTCCTTCAGACCTTGACCCAAAGATTCATCAACAGAAGAAGACATGTTTCTTTCAAGAGTTTCACAACAGCACAACACTAAAAGCAACACAAGTACCAATGACATTTTAAAAAGGAAGGATATAAACTGACTAGCAAATTAAGTAATAATTGACCCCATCAACTGTATCCAGATGTTGCACTGTCAGGATTTGCCACAATGCAGCTTGCTTCTCGTGCCAATGATTGCCCGGCTCTCCAGTTTTCTCACATGAAATCTGACTACGGATTCCTGGACTGAAATGTCTGTTTCCTGTGGCAAATGAATGCAGGCTCCTAGGCTGCCTACTTCCAATAAACCAGGATTCATACAAATAGATTACAATTAACTTGGACTCCTGCATTTTGTACGTCTGGGGATACCCAGAGTTTGTTTCAAACTAGGAATCTTCAGTCATTCTCCATATAAGAAGGGATGAGGAGAAGAGGATACAGGCATAAGAAGCTGTATCTGTTGCAAAAACCTGTGGTTTACTATGGCACTTGAATAAAGCTTGAATGTCTTTCTCACTATCAGCCTCTTAAGTTTATATTGTGCCATAAGCCAAAGGGTTGAGGTCCCACAAAGTTCCATCTTGTCCCCTGTGCTCTTTTTAACACCTACATGAAACCACTGGGTGAGGTAATCCAAAGATTTGGGCTGGCTAATTTCTGGTATGCGGATGACAATCAGCTCTATCTTGCACTTCCACTAATCCTAAAGAGGCTGTAGAAACCATGAAAATGCCTGGAGACAATTTTGGAGTGGATGCGAGCTAATAAACTGAAGCCTAATCCTGACAGGATGGAAGTGCTACAGGTGGTGGAAGGTCTGACCTGGGATTGTAACTGGGTGGCTACAGCAAAGTCGATTAAAATTAAATCCAGCGAAGATGGAGGTCCTGTATCTGAGCTGGAGGGTGGTGGGATCAGGAATTACGCTCCCTGCCTTAGACAGCACACAGCTCATGCCAGCCCAAATCGTGGGGAGCTTAGGGGTGATTCTGGATGCCTCACTTTCTATGGAGGCCCAGGTCACCACCGCTGCCAGGTCTGCCAAATTAGTCTATGTAGAATCACTTCTCATAATGGCATGCCAGAAGGCTTTAAATGAAGCGTTTCTTCTACCATCAACAAACAAAACATGGTCATGGTTATAATCCAGGGATAGTGGTGATCAGAGAAAATTATGCCATGTGGAAATATCTGCTCAGTAGTTTACACAATGACATGAAAAACAATGAGACTTTAGCTAACTTATGGGCTGGCCATACCTTTCCCAAACCATGATCCGGGTGAATTCTCTCTTGATTTTGGCTGCAAATTGCTGACTAATGTACATTGTTCAGGTACTTTGAATAACCGCTCGGAACCGAGAGCTGTATCTTCTTGCATTCCCAATAGAGAGCGTTCAGAAAGCACCGGGGAATTATTGTCATAAGGGGAGACATCACCACTTGAGGCTCTATTTGAATCTGTGGATGAATGTCTGCCTCCCATGGAAAATGGTCCTTCTGACTGGAGCATTTCAGGGTTTCTGATAAAAATTGACAGACAGAAAGATTTTAAGTTCAGTCTAGTTAAGCTGTAGTACAGTTCAACAATAACTAGCAAGATCATGGCTACTGGAATGGAAATGATGGAAATGATTTCATAACGAACACTGATGAGATAGTTTTCTCACCTTCAAACTAAATCCACCATCACAATATATCACACTATATCTAAGACAATTAAAATAAATCAACAGATGTTTTAGACATTTTGAACACATGGAAAAATTATAGTTGAAGTAGAACTAATTTCTTGTGCCACACTCCTTCTGCTTCATTATAATGAGATTAGTTTTTGTTCATTGGTTAACAACTGTGTATTTTGAGTGCTGCTGGCAGGCTAATATGTAAAATTTGGCAAATATATAGGAAATGTGCAATAAAGTGAGTTAACACAAGAAATGCTAAGGGTAGAGAAAAGACACTCACAAAACACTGCATGAACAAGCTTGCAAATTTTGTAGAGCAGCTTACCTTGAATTAGCTTAGTGACTTTTTATCTCTTCTGAAAAAAGAATCCCTAAGAAGAACTTAAATGACCACTGCCTGCTTTATTTAGGATTTAATATGGAACCATATAACCAAACTTTTATTCCAGATTTTCAGTGGCAGCTTAATTTTATGTTAGGAGATCCAAAATGTCATGATTGCAAGTCTAATAATATTAGAAGATGGGTAAAAAATAAAATCCAGAAACAAGAGGTTTATCATTGGAGCTTTAGTGGTGTTCTTGTGCCACATTGTGTTTTATTACTGTTCTGTAAAGACACAAAGTATATCAAGGGAAGTCCTTTAAAAAAAAAAAATCCAGTGATAAGAAACAGGAAAATGTGTAGACTATTAACTAAGTTCAGAGGCAAGAAAGCATTTGAAAAGTCATCAAGAGCCATATACAGAGTCACTGTGCACTTTTTAGCAGTAGCAGTCTTAGGACAACTAGTATGAGAAAGAAGTGTCGAAGCGGTTCTCACACATTTTGCTATGGAGCCAATTACATCCTCTGCAGTCCACGTGCTCACATCCTACTGCAGAGCTGCAAAATTTTCCATGCCATTGGTTTAGATTTAAAATCCATAATCAAGTATCGTCCGCATTGTCCCAGGAGACGAGTCATTATAGATTTGAGTGGTTCGTTTTGTTGTTAACTACACCCGTATCTCATATTTATTTCCTGCTTTCAACTTCTCATCGGGAAAAAAATAACCCGGTTAATTTGTAGCCATTCTTCCAGAATGGGATAGAAACAGCATCACATTCTTTTCATGCTGAATGACCATCCCTCTAATCTTCTAGCCAAATTCTTTCCCATGACTTCATGGTTACAGCTGGAAACATACTGACATCAAACATACGAAAGTGACTCTAGGATGCCTCTTCACAAGTTAGGTGATAGGGAATTTATTAATATTATAACGAGGACAAAGGGCCTGCCATTCCCTACATTCTTAGTGACATTTATATTTATCATCATTAAAATGGGGTGGACTGTTACTTGTGCCACCTATTTCCACCCAGTTTTATGGAAAGAATGACCTGCCACCTTGAGGCTGAAAAAAATAAGCAAATTTAATGAAAGCACTGATATGCTGGAACAACTTTTCAATAAAATTATGAGGAAACTATCAGTGGAAGAAAGCTGCAAGTTATCAAAGCACCAAGGCATTTAACTGCATGTGTGACATGGTCCAGCTGAATTACATACATGCTTAAACCTACTGTAAACAGAGGGTACAAGTCTACTTTAGTACTGTCTGCTATGACTGCCAGTGGCTCTCCAGAGTGTCAGGAAAAGAAGGTGTCAACCAACACCTGATATAAAATGGTTTAACATTTTAGGTTCTACAATGCCAAGACCATGGCCACACAACCCAGAAAATCTACAGCAACTAATTTTAGCCTTTGTTGCAACAAACTAAGGAACTTGATCCAAAGCGTCATTTGCACCTTTACCTGCAGTCTCAGCCTTAGGCAAATGGAATTCACTGCAACAGGGAAGCTAGCTCTGTAGGTGCATGGATTTTTATACCACCAGAAAGCAGCTGGATCAGGCAAAAGTTATCTAGAAAACCCTACACACATTTAACAGCCATATACATGGAATTATCATTTCCTATTTTTGATTAGCACACACTTTAAAAATTCTCAGCCACACCCACTTATTAGGTCACAAAGTAACGCATGAACTTATGCCTATTTGGTAAACATACAGGCTATGCTTTGAAAACCTACAGACACAAATTGTGGTCATGATTCTAAAGAGCCTGGGTCTGCAACCTCTCACTTCAGATACAAAATCAAAATTATTTGACATCATTACTGCCAGCAGAAGGCACATTCTTGTTTCTTTAAATCAGTTTTAACAGGCCTTTGAGTAATTCCAATAAAAACAAATTCCCAATGGAAGACATATGAAGGAGAAGGAAAACAACATTACTCACGATGACTGGGAAGCTTTTCTTCTCAGCAAATAGTCGACAACATCTGGGTCAGTCTCAAGCAGGCTAATCAGAACTTCATTTTGAAGGTCAGCAGGGACCTATAAGTCAATAAAGCATCAAAAATGTAAATGCAAACATATGTATGTACTGTACTGTACAGTGAACACTGTGCTCATTCCTTTTTAAAACACCAGATCAACATATATATGTAATAATTCACACAGAATTAAACACAATATGATTTCTGAATTGTCATCCCTGTCCTTACACTCAAAATCACTTTTTTCCACCCCTTTCTCATAAATGCTCAAAGTGCTTGCGCATGTGCTTTCAGGGAGCTATAGTTGAAATAATGGGTTGTAAACTATATTTTACTGTTTGATAAAATATTGCTGAATTACCTGAGGTGATTTCAGTTCACTTTACATTTGCTGGATGCGCTAATTGTTCTAAAAAGATTGTATTAATTAAAAAAAAAGTGCATAAAACTTTATCATGTACAAGAGGGGGGCGCATGTGAACCCCTGCACCCGTCCTTTGACAACACTAGTTTGTTGTTGTATATTTTGTCATACTATAAAATAGTACAAGGGAAGAAGAAGAAGAAGAGAAGAGATTGGATTTATACCCTGCCCTTCACTACCCAAAGGAGTCTCAGAGCGGCTTACAAACTTCTTTCCCTTCCCCTCCGTACAACAGACACCCTGTGAGGTAGGTGGGGCTGAGAGAGCTCTTGACAGAAACTGCCCTTTTTCAAGAACAGCTCTTATCAGAACTATGGCTTGCCCAAGGTCATCCAGCCAGGTGCAAGTGGAGGAGTGGGGAATCAAACCCGGTTCTCTCAGATTAGAGTCCGCGCACTTAACCACTACACCAAACTGGCAGATACAGTATCTGATGAATACCTTACACTGGAATTCACACTTGGACTGGGCTGTTTTTTTTCTCTGATCTCAATAACTCTCCAGAATTTCCAATTCAATTTATAGAGCACTCATTCGATTAATAATGAGAAACACAGTGCTGTCATTCTTAAAAGTTAGTGATTTAAAATAATTAAACTATTTTTATTATTTTAGAGTGGTACAAGTGGGGGCCACGAAAACTCAGAGGAGGGGTCATTCCATTCCCCCACAATTTTCCTTGCCTCTCCTCCACGTCTTGTCACTTCCTCCCTTCTCCCTTCCTTATATTGATAAGCTTCCAGGATGGCAAACAACAAATATAAAACCTTATAAAACACAAACCAAACACTTGGACAGATGACAATCCTCATGTGTACATTCTCATGGTCATTCCATACTTGAATTCTCTGCTCATTATACAGTTAAAAATGTGTCTCTCTTATTCAAAGTTCAAAATGTATTTTAATACTATTATATTTACAAAGGAGCCCTGATGTGGATAGCCCAGGCAAGCCGGATCTCGTCAGATCTCGGAAACTAAGCAGGGTCGACTCTGGCAAGTACTTGGAATGGAGACCTCCTTGAAATACCAGAGGCGAGAGGCTGGGGCAGGCTTTATTCAGCCACCTCTCTGAATATCCTCCGGGCCCCCAGTAGGGGTCAGTCATCAGAGGTTGCCATGACTTCCAGGTGCACGTACACTCACATGCACACACATGCGCACATATAAAAAATACACAAAACACAACAATTTTTTTTTTAAAGGAGCACAAGAATACAATGGCAGATTTCAAACCACTGGTACCTTGGTGGTTTAACACTGACTGTACTTTCTCCAACATTTATAACATTGTTCTAACATACCTGTTAGTCAATGCTCCCTCTAAGATGTGGAGTCTTGTGAGCAAAAATTCTACTTTGTGAGCTACTGCCATTAAAGTTGTGAGTGAGCGATTTGGATACTGCATAAATTAGTTTACTCTGGAGCCATCCTTCCTGAGCTAAGACAAAAAAGTGTGAGCCAGAGGCTAAAAAATTGTGAACTAGCTCGATTAATCTTCGAGGGAACACTACTGTTAACTATAAACTTTTTTCCAAGTTAGTAACTTGATCTTTCCAGACACTTCCAAATATCTACACTCTTTGAAAAGTTTGATCTTGTTGAAAAATTGAAACCATGCGATAAATTCAGATACAACACTGTTTTCCGTTTATACCAGGTACAGGGTATACAAGGTAGACTCAACTGTAGACTGTTCCTTCACTTTTCAATCCAGATTTATTTATACAGAATCATTATTTATATCGGTTTGGTTGTCAATAATAGCTTTTTAAAATTAACTTTTTAATATTGTATACAAACAGATAACAATACACTAACATAAACCTAAACATCACGAATAGGTACAATGGTTGCGCTTTAACATAGATTGCCAATAACAGTAATAGTGAAAACTACAGTGGAATTACAAGGTAGAGTTGAAACCTCCATAAATTCCAGGTAGGTTTTCAATAATAGCTTGTTGAGGGTTTGTTTATTTTTATCTGACCAAGCTTTCTACTATTTATCTAAAAAGAAATGATTTAGTATAAATCATATAACTGCAGTGTTTCCGAATAACATAGAACCCATTTCTAAAAAGTTAAAACTGCAATATTTTCTGCTGGCCTTACTTTCTGATGGAATTAGATTTTTTTCCTGTTGATTGTATTAGTATGTATTTGACATTTTATCATCTAATTTAAATCATTGTTGCTTCAAGTAATGAAAACACTTTTAATATGCTGTTTTAGTCAAGCAGCTTCATGAAATAATCTACTTATCATGCTTCTGTAAGCTGTTACTGCTCCTTATTCTACCTTTTCCTTCGTATTGCTGAAATTCTATGTAAAGACCTTGCTAATGCAAGCTTTTCCCTGCTTTCCAAATAACAGATTGAGTTACATTTGGAATGATATAAAATCAAAAATATCTATGTTTAGGTTAGTAATGTTTAATATATTTTGCTATGGTATGGAGTGCACTAATATTTAGATTCAATTGTTTAAGTGAGTTGTTGCCTAAATATCTCCACGAAGTGTCTCTGGCACATTATCAACACAGGACTAAATGCAACTACTTGAAGTTGCAGCACAACAAGACGAGCATGATTCATTTGAAAATCCAAGTAATGTGATAGTGAAAAGGGTATAATATCAAATGTCTGTGTATGAGAACCTCCACACTTGTATCAGCTGACTCAACATAAGAGAAGCCAATGTTGGATCAGGCCAATGGCCCATCCAGTCCAACACTTTGTCACAAAGTGGCCAAAAATACCAGGTAGCATCAGGAGGTCCACCAGTGGGGCTATCAAGAGTTTTTAATATACTCTTCTGAGAAACATTTGGACATAACAGGGGGGATCCTGCCTGCCGGACTGCCTTTTCCAGTATGCCCCCCACCTCCTTAGATCATCTGTGCAGGGCCTTCTATAGGTGCTTGGACCACAAATTGCCTGCTTGTCAACCACCAGGGCAAGGGCATTTTCAGTAGTTGCCCCTTCTCTTTAGAATCAGCCACCTGGGGAAGTTTGTGCCCTGTGATTTCTTCCAGCATGTACGGCTGCTTTGTTTTGGGTGGTCTTAGGTTAACATTATGAACCAGGGAGCTGGCCAGTTGTTTTTGATTTCTCCAAGTAATTTGTTGTTGAATTGATGTTTTAATTGGTTTTATTACTCTATTTATTGTATTTAGTCATTTGTATTGTATTTTTATTGTATTTTTAAAGCCACCAAGAGTCCCCTGTGGGGAGAGGGTGCAGGGTATAAATTAAATAAATTAAATTTATTTCTGCTGTCAGCCATAGGCACATAGAATCTTGCACTAGTGGTAAAAGAGCCTATAAGAACTCAAGAATAATCTTCTCCTCCACTGAATTCCTCCAACTGAGAACAGAATATTTCTTATAATGATTACAACTCTGCCCTAAACTTGTCCTAAATCCATCAAAACAAAATACTTTTCTTCCCTTCTTTTTGGCATGTGCCTGAGTTGTGATTACTCATTCTGATGGAAGCTCCCTCTTGGATGGTGCACCCAGCAACTGGCCTCTTCTGCTCTCCTAATCCCTGGAAGAGTGAGGTGTTGTTGGGATATGTAAGCAGTTCCTTTCCTGGTGTCATGAAAAGAATCAACATGTTTTTGTGGCAATATATTTATTAGATTTTATGAATAATAAACACATACTACATGTACACACAAACACAAATGTATACATATACACCCACTATTTTCCATGTACAGCAAACACATCCTACTTCCAGCAAATAAATTTGAACATTTCCATCAAATGGGCTTTAACTACTTAGTTAACTACATAAATATTGCATAAATTACTTCTAGCCAGTCTCAACATTCATTATGCTCTATTAGATAAAGATCTCACAAATTTTCAAATATTAATTAAATATTGTTTGTCCCTTTTCACTTATCTTCACCATATTCCATTAACCATCCAACAGAGCAAAGAAATCATGTTTTTCTTGTATCTAGCCCACAAAAACTACTTCGCACTGAGTGCATGCAGCCATTAAAGATGTTTTACAGAATATTACTAGTTCTTTCATTAAACAATGGTAACAAATTGGCTTTCATCATCTACTTTATCCTCTCAAAGGAAGTATTCTTGTTTACTCCATTATCTTTAATTTTCTTGCTTTTGATTTTTGGCCTTTAATTTTTTATAATTTTGATTTTTATCTTGTGATTTTTTAAATTATTAATTTAAATTACCATCTTAATGGAATTGTTTTAATTAAGCATCCCTACTATAACCTTCCCCTTCAACTAAAAATCTGCATCCACTTAACACTATAGGCTTTAATTTAAACCTAAATCAAACCAATTCTTATAGTGTTACTTCCTTCCAATTGAACCTATAACACCCATGCTTATAATGCCCACCTTCTAAGTAACTAAAACCTTTCCACCCATAACACCAGAAATATTACACTAATCTTAAATCATAATAATCATAATAATATTTTCAAGATCAATTCATTCCAACTAAACCTATCCAAAAAAATACAATTTTAACACACTAATTCATTCCAGCTAAACTTATAACAGCCATACTATAATCATTACTTTCTAACTAAAACCTACCCACCCACAGCATCTTAAATAATACACTAATCTTAAATTATAACAA